CAAGTTCTTCTAATTAGTTGTGTAGTAATTGTTTTTTTTTTTATGTAAACACCAAATAATAGTTGAGAATACTAAAAGATATTTTACTGTTCTCATGAGAACAGTATTTCAAGCTGAAATCTCCAACACTGCTTCAAAGTCAATCGTGAACTAGTTCATGGTCCTTAAAGTCAATCGTGAACTAGTTCATGGTCCTTAAAGTTAATTGTAAACTAGTTCATGGTCTTTAAAGTCAATTGTGAACTAGTTCATGGTCCTTAAAGTCAATTGTGAACTAGTTCACAGTTCTTAAAGTCAATCGTGAACTAGTTCAAGGTCCTTAAAGTCAATCATGAACTAGTTCACAGTCCTCAAAGTCAATCATGAACTAGTTTACGGTCCTCAAAGTCAATCGTGAACTAGTTTACGGTCCTCAAAGTCAATTATGAACTAGTTCATAGTCCTCAAAGTCAATCGTGAACTAGTTCACAGTCCTTAAAGTCAATCGTGAACTAGTTTACAGTTCTCAAAGTCAATCGTGAAATAGTTCACGGTCCTTAAAGTCAATTATGAACTAGTTCACAGTCCTTAAAATCAATTGTGAACTAGTTCACAGTCCTCAAAGTTAATCATAAACTAGTTCACGGTCCTCAAAGTCAATCGTGAACTAGTTCATGGTCTCTAAAGTCAATTATGAACTAGTTCATAGTCCTTAAAGTCAATCGTGAACTAGTTCACAGTCCTCAAAGTCAATCGTGAACTAGTTTATGGTTCTTAAAGTCAATCATGAACTAGTTCATGGTCCTTAAAGTCAATCGTGAACTAGTTCACAGTCCTCAAAGTCAATTGTGAACTAGTTCAACAGTTAAAGATAGAAAACATGCGTATTTTATAATAATAGCATAACTAATAATAACATGCATATTAATGCGCATAATATAATTTTTTGATTTTATATTTTTCTTTAGAAAACATTAGATACTGGCTCAAATTTTTGCTCAATCCTTCTCACCTTTTATGTTTATTTATTTTCTTTTTGAGATTTCTCTAATTAATACCCTTCAAATAATTTCATTTGTATTAATTTAGTCAGTGAGTATAAAGATAATTTATTAACATTAATCAGTGAAATTAAAATCATAAAAATAAATTCTTATTCGTAAATACTTATCTCTGAATACTTATTTATAATTAATCACTTAATACCTTCAAATAGTAGGTAAGTATAAAGATAATTATTAATGTTAATTAGTGAAAATAAAATTATGAATATAAATACTTATTCATAAATACTTAATTCTAAATACTTAATTCTAAATACTTATTTACAATTAATTAATTACCTAATACTCTTCAAATCGTTTTATTCAAATTAATTTAGTCTGTGAGTATAAAGATGATTTATTAACGTTAATTAGTGAAATTAAAATCATGAACATAAATAGTTATTCGTAAATTCTTAACTCTAAATACTTATTTATAATTAATTAATTATCTAATACTCTTTAAATAGTAGGTGAGTATAAAGATGATTTATTAATGGTAATCAGTGGAATTAAAATCATGAACATAAATACTTATTCGTAAATAATTCTTATTTACGATTAATTATCTAATACCTTCAGATTGTGGTTAAGTATAAAGATAATTTGTTAATGTTAATTAGTGAAATTTAAATTATGAACATAGATACTTATTCATAAATACTTAATACTAAATGCTTATTTACGATTAATTAATTACCTAATACTCTTTATAATTTCATTCAAGTTAATTTAGTCTGTGAGTCTAAAGGTAATTTATTAACGTTAAATAGTTTCATTAAAACATGAATATATATATTTATTATTAAATACTTATTTATAATTAATTAATTACCTAATACCCTTCAGATTATTTTAGTTAGTGAGTATAAAGATAACTTATTAACATTAATAATTTTCATTAAAATTGATTACCTAATATTCTTTAAATTATTTTAGTTAGTAAGCATAAAGATGACTTATTAATATTAATTATTTTTATTAAAATTATGAACATAAATACTTATTCATAATTACTTATCTCTAAATACTTTTTTATGATTAATTACTTAATACCCTTCAAATAGTCAGTGAGTGTAAAGATGATTTATTAACGTTAATCAGTTTTGTTAAAATTTTGAACATAGATACTTATTCATAATTACTTATCTCTAAATACTTCTTGTAATTAATTACCTAATACCCTTCAAATAGTCTGTGAGTATAAAGATGATTTATTAACATAAATCAGTTTTATTAAAATTATGAATATAAATACTTATTCATAAATACTTATCACTAAATATTTATTTACAATTAATTCTCTAATACCTTTCAAATCATTTCTTTCATTCGTATTAATTTAACCTGTAAGTATAAAGATGATTTATTAACGTTGATCAGTGGAATTAACAATATGAATATCTCTTTGTATGTACATTTCATATGTTTACTATGTTTATGCAGGCAAATTTGCCTGCGTATTAAGAGATAAATACTTATTTATAAATATTTATTACTAAATATTGTTTACAATTAATTATCTAATTTAAACAGGTTAAATCACACAATTATTCTATGCATTTTGAAATATTCGTCAAATTCTTTCATTATGAACTTTGACGATCAGTAATTATGAAAAAAAAACAAATTAGTTAAAACTTAGAATTGGTTTAATTATTCTAAGCGAAACATAAAAGAAATAGTTTATTTGAAGCTTTTTAACAATAGTTTACTATTGTGTTAGTGTTCGACAAAAATTATTATATGAATTATTTACATCAATATTAATTGCACTTGCACTTGCAATTGATATTGATATTGAACTTGTTTTATAAAAATGATGGATGAAAATTTCTTTTCTCAGAATTACAAGGAAGTTCTGAGTAGATCTAATAAAATCTAATCCATATACATCAAAAAGTTATTACAATCTAATGATATACGATAGAAAGCTGTTACAATCTAATCTATACATTGCAAAAACTGTTACAAAAATATTCATACCACATGATCATATATGGTAAATGGGACAAACAAAATTATAATATCTTTAAATATTTTAAAAATGCATAGCTTGTCTGAAATATAAGAAGCAAAGAAAAATTTTTTATTCATTAATAAAATATAAAACTAATTACTAGTTATATTAGCAATAATTAAATCTATTTGTTCTAGGGAGAAGGTAGAAATTTCATTTGCAGTAGTTTCATTAATTCTTTCTATTTTTTCAACACCAACTCCCTTAAATAATTTGTAAACTTTGTTGGTTTTTTCAACCCTTTTTCTTAAAGTAAGATGTGTAATAGGAATATGCTTCATAAGTTCATTATATACTTTGCTTGTTGCACTTTTTTTTGTTTAGTGTTTTTTTAATCTTTCCTGTACTTGATGCTCAAATTCTTGTGAAAAATCATACTAGCTTTGAATTACATCTCATTTGGCATTGGCTTCATTTTTTTTCATACGTAAAACATTATTAAAAAGTTGTACTAAAATTAGATTATCATTATTATTAACAATGTTATTGTCAGTATTATTATTATTTCTTACGATGGGAGTATTTAATTCCCTAATCAAACGTCTCATTTTGCTGGTCATAGTAGTAGTAGTAGATGTAGGTGCAGATGTTGTAGCAGTAGCGGTAGTAGTGGTAGATGTAGGTGCAGATGTTGTAGCAGTAGTGGTAGTAGTGGTAGATGTAGGTGCAGATGTTGTAGCAATAGCAGTAGTAGTGGTAGATGTATGTGCAGATGTTGTAGCAGTAGCAGTAGTAGTGGTAGATATAGGTGCAAATGCAATATCAGTAGTAGTAGTAGCAGATATTAATGCAGGAGTAGTAGTGGTAAATGTAGATGCTGGTGTAATATCAGTAGTAGTAGATGTAGGTGCAGTAGTGGTAGTAGTAGTAGATATAGGTGTGATATCAGTAGTAGTAGTAGATATGAGTGCAGGAATGAGCAAAAATTTGAGGCAGTATCTAATGTTTTCTAAAAGAAAAATATAAAATCAAAAAATTATATTATGCACATTAATGTGCATGTTATTATCAGTTATGCTATTATTATAAAATGTGCATGTTTTCTATTTTTAACTGTTGAACTAGTTCACGATTGACTTTGAGAACTGTGAACTAGTTCACGATTAACTTTAAGGACCGTGAACTAGTTCACGATTGACTTTAAGGACCGTGAACTAGTTCACGATTGACTTTGAGGACTGTGAACTAGTTCATGATTGACTTTATGGACTATGAACTAGTTCACGATTAACTTTAAGGACCATGAACTAGTTCACAATTAACTTTGAGGACCGTGAACTAGTTTACGATTAACTTTGAGGACCATAAACTAGTTCACGATTGACTTTAAGGACTATAAACTAGTTCATGATTAACTTTGAGGACCGTGAACTAGTTCACGATTGACTTTAAAGACTGTGAACTAGTTCATGATTGACTTTAAGGACTGTGAACTAGTTCACGATTGACTTTGAGGACTATGAACTAGTTCACGATTAACTTTAAGGACCGTGAACTAGTTCATGATTGACTTTAAGAACCGTGAACTAGTTCATAATTGACTTTAAGGACCATGAACTATTTTACAATTGACTTTGAGGACTGTGAACTAGTTTACGATTGACTTTAAGGACCATGAACTAGTTCACAATTGACTTTGAGGATCGTGAACTAGTTCACAATTGACTTTGAGGACCGTGAACTAGTTCATGATTGATTTTGAGGACCGTGAACTAGTTTATGATTGACTTTGAGGATCATGAACTAGTTCATGATTGACTTTAAAGACCGTGAACTAGTTCACGATTGACTTTAAGGACTGTGAACTAGTTCATGATTGACTTTATGGACCGTGAACTAGTTCACGATTGACTTTAAGGACCGTGAACTAGTTCATGATTGACTTTAAGGACCGTGAACTAGTTCATAATTGACTTTAAGAATCGTGAACTAGTTCACGATTGACTTTGAAGCAGTGTTAGAGATTTCGGCTTGAAATACTGTTCTTATGAGAACAGTAAAATACCTTTTAGTGTTCTCAACTATTATTTGGTGTTTACATAAAAAAAAAAACAATTACTACATAACTAATTAGAAGAACTTGCATACATACTAATAGATGTCTATATAAGAAATCAGGAATCTTTTTTATTATAAACTTGAATTGCTTATTCTACACCAAAATTTATAAATTTTATAAAAATATTATTTACTATATATTTATTCTAAATGAATATTAATAAGAAGTATTTAT